TGAGTTAAAAATTTATTTATTTCGATCATAAAATTGATGTCATTATTAGAATAAGTAATATGCTATATATTTAATTTTATTAGTTAAAAATATATTTGTTCGAATTTTGTTATGAGTGTCCAAAAATATATTTTGATCCACATTATTATGAGTGTCATAAATTTAATCTTTTAAACTAGATCTCGTGTGGTATAGAGCATTTTTTATGGTAAAAATTTATGGAAAAAAATAAATTAAATTTCAGTCCACCCGAACATATGTATCTGACTTCGTCCTTGTGTGAAGCGGGTACATCTTTGGACTCAGACTTGTAGTTTTGTATAATAGGTTTAATTTGATTTTGAATATGCATGAAGTTTGATTTTTAGTTGTGTATTGTTGGTTTACATGTAGTTGTGTGGTATTGGTTGTACAGTTGTGCTATGGGTACAATTATGTACTCATAGAGATATCCATAATGGACATCCGGCGCCTCCCTATTGGTGGGGTGTTGATTGCAATCAGCGCCCCACCAATAGGGGGGCGTCGAGTGTGGTTGTAAGAGGTCTTCTGGATATACAAGTTTTTTGAAAGAGTTTGAATATTTATTTTGTAAGATACAACAAAATAACAAATTTTCCTTTTTGATTGCATAGCAAGTTAATCTATCAAAAACTAGGAAATTGAACTTCATGAATCTCTAAACTAAATTTTGAAGAACAAAAATTTTAAGATAAAATTCAGCGATTAATAGAATTTGAGAAAGATCGAAGTCGTGAATGTGGTAGAGCAGCAGTTGGTGTTCGTATTGGAGGAGAAAACGAAGAATTTTAATTTTTCTTTCATTTTCGTTCTTTCTCATTTGTTTTTCATATTTTTTATTTAGTTTATGTAAGCCTGAGGTCAAAATTGGCATTCTACATCAATTTAACTGATTGCGGTGGAATGTAATCGTCAAAGAGAATTGCTACGTGTACACCTAGGTTTACCACTTAGGTGACGAAGGCTGGGAGACCAAAAATAAAAAATAAAGCTTCATCAACCAACGCAGCTGCGACACCCTAGCCTTCTGTCGCCTTGATGGTAAGTCTGCCCTGGGTGTACAAGTTGCATAAATGAATACATTAAAGGTTGAGGGTAGCACTGTCAAGAAATGAAGGCTAGAGACACAAGTGCAAAAGATTGTAAATGCCGGGAACAACGATTGCAAATTATTCCAAAAACATTTCTAATTTCTAACCAAATTAAAAAAATTATACAAAAAATACATTTTGAATTCACAACCAAATCTTCGATTTTTTTTTTTTTTTAAATACA